ATTTGTTCATTTCGTTTTGGTATTATGTTTGATCACAGCTAGAATCTTGTGTGAACATAAAACATTTTAATTATTATTGAAAAACTAAAAATGTATGAAGTATTAGTTTATACTCGTGCAAATGAATGCGAAAGTAGTTTCGGAGCCATTTACAGAAAAAAAAACTTAACCTATAGTATTATAAATATAATATATATATGTACATATAATATGTATAAATAGTACAATAGACATTAAGCATGTTAGAATATTAAGAAGAAATATTTTTTAAGAAAGTATTTGAACAACCTAACCTAACCTAACCTGGAGACGATTTAAATTGTATTATTTAAAAGTAACGATTAACAACATAAGAAGTATGTAGGTATAATGTGTATAATATTTTATATAAAATATATAGCAATAATTAATAAAAATGCTGATAAGTAAAATATTAGTTGCTTAAAATTCTCAATTTAGTACATAAGCTTAAAAATGGAATATAAATACAAGGCATATAAAACGAACAGTGAATAAATAGATATTAATTGTAATAAAAATGTGATTAAAACTTTCCGTTGTCAATTAGCTAACCTAACCATTTTAGATCGAAAAATGTTTAATTTTTTTGATGTGATTTATTTGAGATTTTAACCTATGCTCGTTTAAAGCAGTCTGGTTGTTTTTTTTTTGTGTTTACAATGTAAAATTACTATTAATTAACTAATTACTTAATTTTATAAAATAAAATAATATTTATTTTTATACTATACAATTAAGTCCCAACAATTGGAAAACTAAATATAATATTTTATAATTGTAGTCATTGGTATTAAATAGTCACAATTTACATGTATAGTATAATAAAAAATCGGACAGGATATAAAACTGTGTGGGTGAAACTTGTTTTGCTTCGTGTCCCATCATGCAAGAATAGATGTAGTGTCACTTTTGACGAATATGGTATACCTAAATAGAAAGGAAGTGTATTGAACAAATTGCTGGATACGTGATTACAACATATAATTTTGTTTATACATATCGTGTGTTTTTTATTTTTATAGTTTCGATTTTTTTAATGTAATTTGGAGGGTGGTTGTAAAATGAATTGCCCAAACTCACTAATAAAAAAAACTGAAAAGCGATTCTGTAATACTTCTTGGCACTCTCATCATCACACACCTCCACGAAGGATAATGGTGTATCGTTAAATGAAACCATCATATTATTAGTATAAAAAAAAATCATAACTGAATTCGGATACTGAGTAAAATATACTGCATTACCTATGCATTATTAAATTTAAAAGTTAATGAATAACTTTCATTTATATTAACTATTAAAAACGTAGTCACGTAGAAAAAAACAGAATATCAACTAATAAATGTATTATATTGACTTCGTAGTGCTAATGAAATTGAGTTTGTTTTAATTTGGCTCTCCGGCTATACCTTTATCGTTTAAATACTCTGCTGTACCTTTAGATATTTTATAGTTTTGTTATCACATCGTTTGTTATCGTTAATCCACGTAAATATATAATCCTATTAAATGCTGTTTGACGTTTAAATATACCTATAATATTATCTAGTACCTATATATTTCAATAACCAAATAAATTATGTGGCAACGTTGCATGTAAATTCGTTCTCAATCGTATTCTTTTTTGTGTTTTTTTTGGGTCAGCGGTAAGTACTTTCTTACTCTTAAGTGTTCTTTATCATTCGGCCAAAAAGGTTTAACATTCTCAATCGTTCGATAGCCAGTGTCCATATCTATATTAAAACAAATTGCCCCGAAATTTGTTTTCTGTTATGGCTTATTGTTATAATATTTAATTAGCCAGTAAAATTAAAACATAATCCAGTATGAAAACAATGGCGCTGTTGAGGAGCGGGACATAAGGCCCCATGCCCTCCTAGAAATTTTGGGATCATATCATTTTTAGTATTTGTTTTATATTTCATAAAAGTATGTATTTATATTTAAGTATATATTTATATATTTTATATTTCACAGTCATTTTGACATTTTCTGACAACAGTGCTACCACATATTACAGTACTTACGTGATTCATAGCTCATATTTGGGGAACGGAAAAAAATCTCAGGGGAAAATAGGTTCATAAAACTGACGAAGTAATGAAATAATATATAATTTGGAACGATAATTTTTGGTTTTTACCTACGGTTTATGTATATATGGATTGCAAGTGGTAGAGTATTATATAATAAAATAAAATATAATCTTGTAAATATGCCCGTATTATTATTTATATTACATTGTGTACGCCATACGGTGACCTTTGGTATAGTATAATGTATCAAGACAGTGGTTTTAAACAGTTATAGGTTTTAAAATGTAAGAGGATTATTGTCTCCGTCTTACACACGTACGACATAACAAATTTTCGTTCACGAGTTTCAATAGTGTGCTCTTAGTTTTGATACTAGAGTGAATTGACCTATTATCAATTTTTTAGATAATAACATTATCTGTGCTTAAGCGTTGGCTTTTATTCGATATTTTAATATTCAAGCGATATATGAGCATTTTTAATTATTGATATTTCATCACATACCCATATCTTGCTTGAAATGGAAATTTCGAAAACTCGCCACCTCTTAAGCACAGATAATGTTTTTACCTAAAAGTTTTATAATAGGTCAATTCACTCTAGTATCAAAACTAAGAGCACACTATTGAAACTAGTGAGCGAAAATTTGCTATGTCTTGCGCGTGTAAGACGGAGACAACAAATGTATGGGTAGCGTCCTCTTAAGTTTTAATTTTTCAAAAAATGGAAATTTTGAAATTCAGTAAGGGCATTTTGGTAATTATATTATATTTTATTTTTTAATATTTGTTTTATATTAATTATTACCTATTATTATTTCTCAATTATTAAATTATAAATTACAATCTAGTGATAGCTGATAACTATACTAGTTTTTTTTCCCAGACTTTTTCCTACCAACCTCATATTCACACAACTCCTCAAGTATTGTAAAATGGAGACAAATCAATTTTCTATCTACTTAACTTTTGATAAATAATACATACGTTTTTTGGTCGTAAAGACAGTTAATTAAATATATTTTAATAAAATATATCATAGTAATTTATAAATTCCAATTTATCATTTAATTTTATATACATTTAAAGTTTTCACCATTTCCAATCCACTAAATGAAATCAATTAAATTACACATTTGAAAATATTGATAATCAAATATATAAATCAATAATTTATTCAAATCATTAGAAATAGTAGTTATTTCTTTGATTAATAATTGCTATAGTAATTAATTCTTTTGTGTCTTAATGTAAATAATTCTTATACTAGAGCTTGAAAATAATTGGATTTTGGAAAACACTTTTCAAGTTGTTACTGAAATTAAGTGTCCTTTCAACACTATTGATCATGATTTGTATTTAAGCAGGTTAAAATTTTAAAATGTCTTCTACCTACTTGACGAAAAATCAATGAAAGAACAATGTATGCATTATTGTTTATTATTAAATGAATAAATATTATTATTCATGAGTAAATTAGTTCTATTCAGAAATGTTTGTTGAGTTTGAGAATTAATTGTTTTTATGTTTAAAATGACAGAGCGTTTCTATACATTATTATGTATTATGCATTAATGCATGTTTAAAAAAAGGTTAAGAGGATGTCAGCTAACTATTTGTTTTCTCTCTTTGGCCCATGCGCAACATAGACAAAACGTAATTACGCAGAATCATTTTTTTTTTATATATTTATCTAAGCTTAGAGTAAAATGATTCTTTACAAAATAATTTTTTTTGAGAGAATATTTTAAATAAATTTGAAACTTAAATAATCCTGTTTTCAGCGGATGTCAGTGCACTATTGGTATTCTCTCGCTAGCCCACATGCAGGGTCGTTTTTTTTTATGTTTTTAAGTAATCTTAGAATAAAATCACCCATCACAAAAACGATAGAGATTAGAGAATAATATTTTGGAGGGTATGCCATATACATTTTATATTTTATTTTTATCTGACTTTGTATTCGACTTTCAAAATAAAGTTTAATAAACAAAAAAAATTTGTTAATTTAAATTATGTTTAAACTGTTTTGAGACAATATTTAGACAAATCGAAATGTCATACCCTCAAAAATATTATTCTCTATCATTTTTGTGATGGGTGATTTTATTCTAAGATTACTTAAAAACATAAAAAACGACCCTGCAAGTGGGTTAGCGAGAGAATACCAATAGTGCACTGACATCCTCTTAAGATCACGCTGAAAATGGGATTATTTAAGTTTCAAATTTATTTAAAATATTCTCTCAAAAAAAATTATTTTGGGAATTGAGTACCTTATCTAAATTAAAATCACACTAGTTGACATTTTTTTACAGCTGTCAACAGTGTCGGATCTAAGTCTAGGAGTTCCAGTATAATGTAGATATTTGGGCCTTGGGGCTCTTAATATAAAAATATTCATATATTAAAAGAAAAATACTTTTAGTATTAGAGTGAATTTATACATTATAAAATTTTAATTTAAGAAAATGTCCTGTGTTGTTATGTTGGCTATTTTTTATATTTTCATTTTTATGTAAGATATGAGTGTGTACATTATTACAATTTTGAAATGCTTATAAAATGCAGAGAAATTGAAATATTCTATAACAGCCAACATAGCAACACAGGTAATGTTCTTAACCTAAAGTTTGATAATAGGTGAATTCACTCTAATATTTAAAGTAACAACACAGGGTTGGTTCTGTTAAATGTTAATTTGCAATGTTGCTCGTGTATCAGAGAGCTAAAACAAATAGCGCGCTTACATTTTCTAAGTATAATTTTCATAGTACAACATCTTCTTGCGTGGTTGATCATTCATAATCAAAAAATGTATCTAATTACTTAACCAAACGTTTTGAATTATGATTTTAACACTATTTATATTTGAAAAAAATGAAAAATATACCTATTTTATAATAGTTTTATATAATATACTATTTATGCACATGTCTGATTAATGTTACTAACAAAAATTGTTTTTTTAGAAGTGAAACAAGAACTGGAAGATCTTATGGTGGATATAAAAAAAACTGCTAATAGAGTCCGTGCCAAACTCAAAGGTTAATTTTCTTTTATTCAATAATAGTTTTTTGTTATAATTTAAGTATAAGTAAAATTTTTTGTTATTAGAAATTGAACAGAATATAGAAGCAGAAGAGCAATCGAACAAATCGTCAGCAGATTTAAGAATACGCAAAACACAACATTCAACATTGTCACGTAAATTTGTTGAAGTGATGACAGAATATAATCGTACACAGACAGATTATAGAGAACGTTGTAAAGGGCGAATTCAAAGGCAATTAGAAATAAGTAAGAATATTTCTTTTTAAATTCTTAGCTAAGTGATGAATGTTATGGTTTTAAAATTATCTGAGTGTGCTTTTAAAACTTTTATTTATTGGTCATCACTCATCAGTCATCAAGTTTTATATCAGTAAACATGTTTCAATCTTCAACTTTGTGGGTGGTTTCTGGTAGAAAATTGGTTTTAATTATTATTTTAAAGAAGTCAAAATTAAAACATTACTTATACTTGTCAAATAATTTGGAAAACAAAAAAATATATATAGATTATAGAATTGTGGAATTATTGTGTAAAACAAAATTGAAAATAGATTTTTTTTTTTATTGTTATAATCATGTTTTTCCCCAAATTTTTATAAATATTTTCTGGACTTGTTATATTTTTCAAAATACTTGTGCCTTTTTTGTTCCATAGACATATTACAGTGATTACAAGTTTAAATTTAAAAGTATATTATTACAATTTATTTTTATAACCGTTGTTTGACATTCAAATTTTTACAAAAACACGAAAAATGTGCAAGTTATTTTGTAGTTATACACAGTTATTGCATACATATGCTAAATTTGTTCATTTTTGGAAAAATTATAACAAGAAAAATAAACTTCTTATATCAATTTAGTTATAATATAAAATATCCTAGGCTGACAAACTGTTTCTGCTCAGAATCGTTTCTAGTATACATTGGTATATCATTGAGTTCAAATTAAACACATCTATTTACAGGAAATACTTCCCCAGTTTTTTAATTGAAATTTTTATTGTTTAATTAATTTAAATGTTTTCATGAATATTATCATTAATTTAATTTGTATTAATTCAATGTTTAAAATTTTAGCGGGAAGAACAACTACTAATGATGAACTTGAAGAAATGTTAGAACAAGGGAACCCGGCTGTGTTCACGCAAGGCGTAATTATAAAAATACAATTTTTTTTTTAGTTTTAATATGATTTTTTTTTAGATAATTATGGAAACACAACAAGCTAGGCAAACATTGGCTGACATTGAAGCCAGGCATGCTGATATTATTAAACTGGAAAACTCTATCAGAGAACTTCATGATATGTTCATGGATATGGCAATGTTGGTAGAAAATCAGGTATGTATTTTAAATATTGTATAATGATTTACAATCCAATCTATTATCAGATACTGATTAGAGCAAGAAAGCTGTCGGATTTAAAATGTGTGGGTTTTTGTATGTTAACAATTTTATAGCTAAAACTAGTGTTCTAAAATTGTATACATTATTTTCTATACATTGGTAATCTATCTATAGATAATTGCATCAAACACGCTAGAGGTACTAACCTTATGATGTGATGGTAAATTTATGGTACTTTCCTGTTATACGAGATTACGGCTGTTATCGCGATTACCACCCAAGACTACCTCTGTTGTCGCGACTACCGAGCTTATTTTGTGAAACATCACAATCCTGTTATCTAAGACTATCAAAATGGTACTTCCTGTTATACGTGACCACCTTATTTTTCTTGCCTTCTTTAATAGATTTTTTAATAATATGTACTTTGGGGATGGCCAGAATGAAATAAAGAAAACATTTAAATACATATAGTAATTATACTAAATGTATTTTACATGTTACACGCCAAAGTGCCAAATTTACCGCGGCGTACGGAAAACAATAAATTAATAATAATAATACAAAATGGTAAATCCACAAATATAATAAATATAATCGCAGCTTATGGATATCGTTCAATTATAATATCAGCTAAATAAGATAGGTAGTCGCCATAATGGGGGTAGTCTTTGGTGGAAGTCGCGATAATAGCCGTAGTCTCGTATAACAGGAAAGTATCATTTTGGTAGTCTTAGATAATAGGATTGTGATGTTCTCAAAAAACAGGGTAGTCTAGTATAACAGCAAAGTACCAAATTTATTATAGTACACTGTTACTTAAATATATTAAGTATTTTAAATTGGTTATTTGGATTATCATTAAAAATAAGTCTTTAATTTTGTATTTCTGAAAAAATATTGTATTTGGTGAATAGGGTAATTGGGTAATATACTATGGGTTGGTGTGCTGCGGGCGTTCACCAACTAATGTTATTTAATTCGCCTGTTTTAAAATGTTTGGTGCCACTGACCACATCTTACTTTAGAGTGATAACTTGTAAAACAAATGTCTTTTGAAAATAAATTGACATCTTTAACAATCTAAATCTTTATTGATTATAATTATTTTGCTATTTATTAAATAGTAATTCTATTGAATTTAGATATTTTGGCACTAAATCTTATACAAAAGAATTGTGGTTTTTTAATAAATAATAAATTTAGCTCTGTAATAAGTAATATATAAATTTCCAAATAATTAGATGCTACCACTGTGGATAATATATACTCACATGAATAGTATTATTGAGTAATAAATAAATACTCAGTTATTTATAATAGAATGAGGTTAAATGTAATAAATATCTAAATAAGCAATTATTTATTCTTGTATCATAAAAGTCGTAGCTTTATAAGGTACAACAGTAACATATTTTAACCTTTTCACTCTTTGCAAAAATATTAACTAATTTACATATAATCTATGCTTAAAATCTATACAAATCTTAATAAACATTCATAAAGATATATAAATACCATGAATACATAAATTAATTATTGTTTGTTTGTCATAAATGATTTGGTATGCATGTTATAACTAATTTTTAATGTTTGAACTCAACTTTACTATTAATTACCCAATTAATAATTTTAGTTTTTTGTTTGAATTGTTTTATAGACAATTCTACCACTTAAAAACTAAATATTGTATTATCTTAAATTTAATTTTAAAACTGTTGGTGCTATTCTTAAAACATTGAAAACAAACAAACAAAATAAATAACTACAATAAAATTATTGTTTTTATTTACATAGTTTTTTGATATAACCAATGTTTCATTATAATATGAGATAAAATTAGTTTCCTATTAATTTATAAATTAAAAACAAAATTAGGGCGAAATGATTGATCGAATTGAGTATCATGTTGAACACGCCGTGGATTATGTACAGACGGCAACTCAAGATACTAAGAAAGCGTTAAAATATCAAAGCAAAGCGAGAAGAGTAAGTCAAAAGGCGTAGTCGATTGCAATGGCCCCACTCGCTTTGCTGAATGCATTTGTTTGTTTTTGTAGGTTTTATTTGATATTTGTTTGTATTTAGAAAAATGAAATGCTATTAAGTATTAGTTTTTAGTTGATATAATTTTAACTGATTGCCATTGATTTATAATTACTAAAAATTATTATTTTGTTTTGTTTTTTTCCTTTTCAACATTTTTCGCTTACTTTTGTTTTTATTATTTTTATTACATAAATAATTTTGGGATTTTCATACAATAATTCCTTATCCCAATCTTGTTCCAACTGAAAATGTTATCCAAAAAAAAAAAAAAACCATATAGGGTGAACTTATTGATAGAATAGAATACCATGTATCATTCACTGTTGAAAAAGTTGCTGAAGGCAAAAAAGAACTGGATGTTGCTGAAGACTATCATAAAGGAGCCCAAAAAGTAAGTAATTTATTATTTACAACAAAGAAAATATATAAACATATCCTCAAATATATCCTATGTATAAGAGAACTTTACTGAATTCTGAATAATCAATATTATGTTACATATTTCAATACAATATATATTTTTTTATCTAATTGTATTTAGTAGTAGTTATCTAGGAACATAATTTTATTTTTATTTTTTGATATGTATTTTGTTGAATATATTATACAATATTAACACCAAGTTTCAGTGAAATAAATGGCAAGTCAATTGTGTTCGTATACTATTATTTGATAATTAAATTAAACTAAATTGTTTTCAATAATTATGAGGGAAAATGTAGTTATTGATTTTTATTAGTTATAGTTAAGTTTGCAATACCAATGAGAATTGAATAATGCACTGTTTGTTTGTGAAAACACTGTTTTATTTTGCTTATGCTATTAGCTTTCCCTTTAATGTTTTTATTTAGAACATATTTTTGTATTTTTTTTTATTGTTGTTATTTTTCTTACTAATATATAATTATTCTTGTTAAATAATTAGAAGAAAATCATGATCCTGATATGCTTGACAATACTCATTGTTATTCTTGGAGGATTTGTGATGAGTTTTCTTCCCAAGCTTCCTTAATACATCACGTGAAAATAAGTAAGCATAGGTAAATAAAAGATTTTAGGATTTAATAATAATTTTATGTAAAATAAATTATTTAAATACGGATTTCTGTACTAAAGAAAATTGTCATTATAAATAATAATATACCAATGCCAGTTATTGTATAAATACAATTTTATTAGATTTTTTAGTTTTTAACTGTTTAGTTTTTGATTAAAATTATGGTAAAAAAATAAAAATATGAAAACTCTTCAGTAAATACATATATATTTTTGAGGATTGGAATAAAAATTAATTACATTCTATTCAAATAGAAAGAGTTCTTATTACCTTTTAATTTTTATTCATATTTTTTACTGTATTGAATCATTTATTTAATTTAAAAATTTTAAATGTTACCTTGTCTAATTTTTTTTTTTTTTTTTGTACCATTAATTACCAATTCATAAATGTATTTACACTGTAGAAAGACTTTATTTATGTACAGTGTAATACTACAATATTTATAAAGATTAATTATATCATATAATTATTTATATTAATGATTGGTTATATGAGAAGTCCACTATTCTAATTTAAATGGAATTTAACTATAATGTGTATATGTTCTAAGCATAGACCTATAAACTAATAGACAGCGCTTTCCACACCACCCTGCCCTTGGTTAATCCAGTCGACATAACTGAGTTAGAAAAAACATGTTTTGGCACACTAACGGCCAAAACCTCTCTTTTCTCTCTCATCAAACCCGTCTGGTGATTTCTCTCTCTATGCGCTGTCCATTAGTTTATAAGTCCTAAAAGTATGGTCCATATTAGTTTTATTCCATAATAAAAATGAACATTTTTAGATTTATCGATATTGTAAATTAATCAACCTTTTAACTTTTATTAACATGTAGCACAGTCTCATGTAATTGTTACTAATTCATAAATTATATCAAAATTAATGTTCTAAAACACGCTACATGTTTATCTTTGGGTATTTTAAAATTGTGTATATACTAAATCTCTGTTTACAGGCATCCCTCAATAATTGTCAGCTTAAATTCTCTGCCTGAAATAAACGTGTAAGATATAGGTAAAAACCACTCAATAATCCTCCCACCTTATCTAGCAGACATGGGTATTATGTTCATATAAATACTCTTTCCTAGGTGCATCCAGACAATGGTCACGATTGCCGGAGGGTATATCGCTAACACAGCATATCACTCGTGTGGTGTTCCTGACATTCGATGCACATATGAAAGCGTACCTTTACATATATTTATGATCAGTGATATTAATAACAATGAAATTAACTTTTGTTTATTTTGGTATATAATTGATTTAGTATCAAATTTATCACCATTTGTTGTACACTCAAATTCAGTATCTATTAACATATAAAAAAAATCTCAAAAACATTTACTTAATAAATATTCATATTTACATAAAATAATAATTTTAAATCAAAAATAAGATTAGAAAATTATAATAATAGCACATTTGTGTAATACAAATATTTGTACATAATATGTATGTATTTTATGTATTTAATTATTTTATTTGCATAATTTACAGAGCAATTTTTCGACGGGTACATCCGGCAGAGCAGTCACTCAATACATACTAGTTCTTCGACATGTAAAGACTGGAATAGTGTACGAAAAACAACATTTTATTCGTTTAATTTATTTAATTTTTATTTCCTTTTCCTGCCTCAAAAAAAAAAAAAAAAACGAGTAAAAAAAGTCCATGTGATTTATTTATTAACGCTGTCTGTCCTGTTTTAAAAGTAACTATATAATAATATTTATTGTTTTTTAAAACCTCTTTCTTAATTATTATAGTTATATTGTTATTGATAAAATTATTAGATTTTTAAAACCAATTAATATATCTATATATAATAATTATTAACTATATATTATAATATAGACATTCATGTGATAATTCGTTAAGATATTCAAAAAATTTTGGCTTCCTCGTTTTATCATTTTATAATTTCTGCAGTGCGATGCGTAGGTGAATTGGAAATAATGTCAATTTTTAAATAAAAAAAAAAAATAGTTGTTTTGTTCTACTTAAGTATTATTCATCAGTATATGCTTTAGAAGGACTAATGTAATGTATTTACATTGATTTTCTTTCGAGATTATTATTTTTTATATTAGTTTTAGTAAGTCCCATAATAGTTTTAACTAAGTAAAAGTGCCTTGGAGTATATAGTCATCAAATACCAACAGTAATTTAGACATTAATGCTTATTAATATTTGAAAATGCGTATTATTATCAATATTAATGTACATTATCTATGTATTATTATTGTTGTAAATCTAAATTAACATTTATTTATTTTTTGTTTTAATTTTTTTTCAATTATATTATTATTTCAAATTTAAAATATCATTCTCTTTCACCTTTTTATTAAAATAATGGTAATAATAAATAACAAAACCGTTAGAAATTTATAGCCATTAAAAGTTTCAAAAAGTGTTTACATAATATATGTTTTTCCAACATATATTTTGTAGATTTAAATTTACTACTAAATTTCTAACATAAAAGTGGAATTCGCTCAAGATATATTATTTATTTCTGAGAAGTTTTTTTATTTTGATTATATACACATCTCGTTTGACAACATTATGTCTTAATCAATTATTTTTTATTTATCCTGTGTAAGAGTGTTACCTATTTTTATTTTTAACTACTACTAGTATTTTCGTAATTAATTTTTTTAAAACTAATTTAACAATTATAATGTAATTTTAAAGATATTTGGTACTATGCTTTTTTTCTTGATATTCTATGTTTTTTAGTCACAGTATTCGTATTTACAGACTTTTTTTTACAATGTAATTTAAATTAGAAAAAAATATAAATACATACAATTTTACTGTAAATACATTTAATTATACTACATGTTTTGCCATATTGCTGTTATTGTGTTCTAATCAAATTACAATATTAATAATTAATACCATTTTTAGAAAAAAATAGATTATTTATTATACATTTCATAATTATTGTTCTCTTTATTTATTTATGTTTTTGTTTTATTTTATTATTTGTTAATGATAAAAATGTAATTTACATTTTTAATCAGAATACACAATTTTATAGATTAGAGGACTATTTTCGTTTTTTTTTAAATTATAGATTATTAAATTATGAATATCTAAAATATAAAAATTGTACAGTGAAAAAATTGTTTCTTGTTAAATTTGTTGATCTTTGCCTATAATTGTAGTGAAGATATTAATTTTTTTTAATGTTTAAGTGTTAATATTGTAAAAATAGTGCAATTTAAGTCTTTTTAATAAAACAATTTGTTTTGATTAGTTATTAAGAGAGCATTTTATTAAATGATACAGAAAATCATCAATAAGATTTTTTTCTTTTTTAAATTCTTACAGCCTAAGTTATAAAATTAGTACGTCAATTTTGTTTTTAATTAATAAGTAACTTTAATAGGGCCATGACAAATAGATTTTTTTTGCACACTTAGCTTAACAATAAAATCAATTGAACAATGAAATTTGATATTTGAAAGAAAAAAATGTTAGTGTTCTAATCACCATTAACCCATTGGGCACTTAATATATTCCAATGTCATTTTTCTTTTGTCAATATAACTTGTACTTATCACATCTATTTTGTGTACTTTGTTTTGACACATTGTCAATCATATTTTTAAACAAAATCATACTACCTATTTAATTGTAGCTGTTTTAGCAACATTTTAAGATGTTTTTCTGTTTTACTTGAAGTATTTAAATTTTTTGCTATACATATTATATTTTTTGTATGATCTATATAGTTTAAAAGTAAAGTATTATAATTATTGTAGATTTTTTTTTCTAAAAAAAAAAAAAAAATGTTGATATCTGGTCATAAATACATTTTTTTATTGACCGTTGTCAGGAGTCATGATATTGTATCTACTTTTTAATTTTATCTGATAATAACTCATTATAAAGTAATATCAAATTGGTAATAAACTCGTAATAATGTATTAATATATTTGTCGTTATTAATATAGTTACTTTTTGTTAGACTAACCAGTGGCATACCAATAACTGTTTAATATAAATAATATTATATTATATATATACCTAATATAATACAATATTTATAATATAAATTATAAATTTTTATGTTCGGTTAACACAATTTTTCACAAATTTGTTTCATTTGTTTTAGGTTACTCTATTGACTATTATATTATAGAGTCCATACAATATATTATATACACATACACATACACATATACCTATCCTCAAATGTTCTGTACCCAGTCCTGAGTTACAGGGTACCTATACAGAATATAAATACTTCTACTATTTTTTTTAGCTTAAACCTACTCATTAAATTCATAATTCGTGATACGTATACCTATTAGAATTTTCAGTGATGTTAACAAAATATCCTATAATTATTTGAAATCTTTAATTCTCAGATGGCACTCAGTAGGTATTAGGTGATTTTCAAAATAATATTTTGTGAGCCAAAGACCAATTGCCAACAGAAATACCCCATATTTGATATATTTTTAATTAGTTATTACTGTAATATGTAGTAATAATAAATAATAATATATGAGTAGCTATTGTGCTTATACTCTTAAATTAATCTGTGAATGTTTCAAATTACATTTCTTAGTATCAGATAACTCTTATGGTCTTGTAAAAGTCATGTGTAACTTACTATTTTATTGTTTTTATTTTGGAAAAAATACTACAAGAAACACCCAAAAACTAACCTCTTAAAGCATAAACGTAGAAATTGTTAAGTACTTCGTCGGTTTGTACATACAAAATCTTAATTCCCAGCAGGCCAGCTGAAATTACTATGTTTTTTGTGTATTGTTTTGTTCAACGTGTCAATTAATGTGACCAAACTATATTATGGTCCCTTACTGGCTTACTCTATTTGATGATTCCCCATTAAGCAATTTCTACTGCACCTAGGTACCTAATTTGCACAATATTTGCTTGTAGAACATATATCGATTTGAGGGAAGCGAG